GCACCCATCTTGTTTAGTTCACATGCCATGAAATATTTACAGCTCAATAAAATGAGGCATGGAAATGGACTTGAATCCATCGTTTCTGAACACTGGACAAAGAAACCATGAAAGCGTTATGCAAAGAAACAAAATATCAGTGGCAACCAACCAAGGAAACTTGGTTTCCTTGGTTGGCTGTGCACTTTAAAACACAATTTAGAGAACAATATCAGGGTTACACTGGAGCACAACATTAGATGGTGTAACAATGCAAAATTCAGCATCTTTTAGCTCTTATAAGGAAGCAGGAAAGATAAACTTTAGTGAAGTTTACTGACAAAAGTTAAAGCTCACACAAACACAGCAGAAAGGGTTCATGTAGCGTCCTGTCTCTTTCCTTGTTTATGTGACATTAAAAGCACAGGAGCAGTGAGATTCATCTCCTCCCGTGACCTTCAGACTTTATGGACACGATTACAACACCACATCAGTTTTACTGACAGCCTTTATCACTGAGCTTCTGTGAAAACCCCAAACTGTGCTGCAACAAATAACACTTCACCTTATCAAAAACTTGATTGGATTAAAAGCAACAATACAATTAAGTAAACTGGATCCAAAGAGATTTGTGTTATTATGATCAGTCAAGTTTAATACTCCTGTCCCATCCAGCTGTGATGCCACCACCGCTCTCTTACCTGTTGCTCGGCTCTGTGGGCTCCGTTTGCCCCGACCCGGTGCTGTTCCCTGGATCCGGACCATAAATCCTCCTTTGAAACACAGATTTCCCTCCGACAGCTTCTGATGAATGCAAACAGCCGTTCACTTGAACAGTCGTTTGAGCTGCACAAGCATCAGCTGCATGAATGTAGCAGCTCAACTTCAGTGAGAGAGGAGAGCTCCTGCGTCCGATGCGTTCAAGCACGGTCGGAACCGTGAACTTCAGCTGGAAAATCACTCGACAGTTAAATCAGGTAATAACACTGGGACCCTTTACTTTACAACACCGAGTTGTAAATCAAATAAAAGCACGTGGCTGCCCGAGAGCTGGTGCATGTCTAATGTATTAATGTCACATATTTTCTTTGCACGCGTGGGCGTGGTTTTATTAACTATGTGTACATTTTGCGCTCATACAAAACTTTGAGGTGAGGAGGTATTTTGTCATTTTTATAGATCAGAACAATTATATGTGTTGTTGTATTAAAAAGTCACACATTATTAGTCCTTTAAAATCTAGATCATCTGCTTTTAAATAGCAAGCTAAAGCCATGCGCTGGCTAGCTTGGTGCTGGATGGATGATCGAGCATGCGTCAGGATTTAAAATGAAGAGCAGTTCAGAGTGAGTTTGATATCGGTGTGGTTCAGTTTTGTTCTCACGTTTACAGTGGCGTGCTCACTATTGCGCAGGGTACCTGTTGGAAAACCTTGCACAGAAAGACTGCGGGTCTTTTAAAAGATGTGGGGGACTTATGGTCTTTTTTAATCACATCAATCATACAGCCATTTAAATGCAACCACAGAGTGTGGAATCAGTGTTTAAAATTCATGGTTTAAATACAAGGTAATTAATTCGTATTTCTAAATTTATTGATCTCTGTATCTTAAAATATATATATAAAAAAGTTCTACTTAAAATCAGAAGTTACCCGTTTTGAGTCATAGCCCTGGAGGAAAGATTACTTCAATGAACAACAGTTTGTCTTTTAATTAGGCCAATAAGCTTTTAATACTAGATTTTAACTGGAGATTCCTCTTCAAGACAGGACAGTAGATTTGCTGCTGAGCCAGCAGCAATAAAGAGCCTGACCTGTCTGCTGATGGGGTCCTTTCAGGTTCATAATCCTAAAGTAACTTTCAAAAAATTTATCACAAACAAGGTGACATCTGACTGACAAATCAAGGAATCTCTGTATGTATATGCACTAATTGTGATTGCAGAGTTTTTGCTCACTCTGATGAGCAGCAGTCTCATACTTGGGGTCCTATTGAACCTCACAGATATCACACTCTTCCTTGACCTCACTATGATGTCTTCAGTTCAGATACTTCTGTGTGGAGTTTGGATACTTCCCTCTGTGTCTGCACAGGTTCTCCCCGAGTACCCCGACTTCCTGCCACAGTCTAAAGAAATGCATGTTAGGTTAATTGCTGATTATAAGTTAGTCATACTTGTAAGTGGGAGCATGACTGATTGCCTCTCCTTGTTAGCTCATAATAGACTTTGTCCAGAATGTACCCCGCCTCTCACCTAGTAACACCTGGGATAGGCTCCAGTCCCCCACCGACCTGAGTTTGATTAGCAGTTGTTAAACAAATCCCAGCAGTTTGCTGGATATAGGAAACAAACGTATTTTATGGAGATGTCACATGAGGTGACATAAGGAGGTAAAAGCAGTATCTTAAGTGATTTAAAGACCTTCTAGTGTTGACATCAGACAAAGCTCCAGCTTCCCCTCAAATTCTTTAAACATTTAATCATTCAGGAGCATTTGTCTGCTTGCTTTTAAATTTTGAGTTGAGAAGAGGATGGGAAAGGAACTATATGATTTCACTGCTTCTCTTCATTTGCGTGTTTGCACTGGTGTATTAGAGGTTGTATAGTCATATGTTAAACATAGTCCATCTTTGTTTGGTAAACGTTATCTGCGTTTAGTTGTTGGAGGCTTGTGAAAGGTGTTTGCAGCTGTAAAACATGCATTCAGAACACAGAAAAATCTTTCTGACAGAGTTATATACACCAATCATTTATAGCATTATAAGCGCCTGCCTAATATTGTGGCAGCCCCCATTTTGCTGCCAAAACAGCACTGAGCCAAGTCAACACCTCAAACTCATTGTTGTGCTTCTAGAGGCCACAGCAATCAGGGAGTACCGTTTCCATGAATCAGTGTACGCAGTCTGCAACAATGTTGGTGGTATGTGTCAAGTTATCATCCACATGGATGGCAGGTCCTGAGGTTTCCTAGCAAAACTGTGCTTGAAGCATCACACTGGCTCTTGCTTTTTTCCCATAACGCATCCTGGTGCCAGGTGATCTCCAGGTGAGCAACACACGCACCAGCCATCCACGTAAAGTAAAAGAAAACGTGATTCATCAGACCAGACCACCTTCTTCCACTCCTCCTTGGTCCAGTTCTGATTCTCACAGGCTCATTGTTCATGCTTTCGGCAGTAGAAAGGAGTCAGTATGGGCATCCTGACCGGTCTGCAGCTACACAGCCCACTACACAAAAAAAAATGTGTATTCTGACTGTATTCCATCAAAACCAGCATTAACTTTTTCAGCAGTTTAGCAGTAGGTTATCTGTTGATTTGGACGACCCCGTCGCTGGTTCACCACTGTCCGGACCACTTTTGAAGGATACTTAGCACTGCAGACCGGGAACACCCCACAAGAGCTGCAGTTTTGGGGATGCTCTCACGTAGTTGTCTAGCTCCCACAATTTGGCCCTTGTCAAACTTGCTCAAATCCTTACACTCGCCCATTTTTCCTTCTTCCAACACATCAACTTTGAAGACAAAGTGTTTACTCACTAATCTATCCCAACCACTGGCAGGTGCCGTGTTGAAGAGATGATTAGTGTAATTCATGACAGTGGTCATAATGACCGTTTCTGCACACCTTGCTGCACAAAATGATCCTTGAAATTGTTGCTCTGTGACCCAAGTATACACTTTACTGATCAGTATATGGGTCTAAATGGAAGGTTCAAAGCTCCCTGAATATGTAGGCTACAGATTTTTATAGTTTCTTCTTGGTTATTGCAGAGATCTATAAAAAAAAAAACCAAAAAAAAACCAATCACAAACACAGTTTAGCAAAAATATCAAACAGCTTTTTGCTTGTCCCTTATTTCCCTTTTCCCTTTTATGCCAGTCTGAGTTGACTGAAACTCAGGATGATTCAATGTTTTGGAATTGCTGGCAGAACTCTTTGACTCCATTATTTATTAAATCTCTTTCTCCAACAAATACATATAAACACATTTTTTGAGAGAAAGAGTACATTAAGAGTTTATTTCAGCAATTTTCTGTTTTTTAGTAAACATTTGCCAAACAGTGTCAAGGCAATACATTTGTAAAATATTACTAACAAGATGATTTATGTTCAGTGATGTGCAAAAGTCTTTACTCTTGGTTGTTTATATTTTTCAAAATGGTCTTGAGCAATAGTTTTCCAGGTTTTCTGTGGGTCTGTCAACATTTCATGGGACACTGGCTGTGACTGTCTTTAGTTAAATGTATAAACAATGAAATTCAACCAAGACCTGACAACTGGCCCTTCAGCTGATCCTACTGTTCACTGAAGCCTAATCAGGATTGGTCTCAGTTGAAGTGTGGCTGCCAGGAAGCCATTGTTAAGGAAGTGAAACAGGGAGGTCAGGAGAGAGGTATAACAGTGAGTGTTTACAACTGTTGAAGAGGCTCTGTCGTGGTTTGGGGTTGCATTTCAGCCAGTAGTGTTGATAATCTCACCAAAATAGGTGTAATTATGAACTCGGAAAAGTACCATCATGTTTTGATCCACCATTCAGTACCACATGGAAAACATCTAATTGACAAAAAACATATTGGACTCACTCATTGTAAGACCATCAGTCATGGATGGGCCTCCCCAGAGCCCGAACCTCAACATTATTGAGGCAATGTGGGATCATTTTAACCGAGAACACTACACAAAGGCAGCCAACATCCAAAGAAGAGATTTGAATGTCCTTCAAGAAGCCTGCAGAACTATTCCTGAAGACTGCCTAAAGAAATTAAAAGAAAGTTTACCTGAGAGAGTTCAGACTGTGTTGAGAAATAAAGGTTGACTTTTAAACTCTCTAGAACTGTACTAATTCTGTTTTTGTCTTATATGCTGTCTTTTCAAATGTATTTTCTTAGAGAAATATAAAAAATGGGAGAGCCTCAAGACTTTTACACAGTACTTTAAATATACTTCTTAAGATTTAATTATGTTATGTTACCATAAAGTATTGAGGACATTCAGTATTTCAAAGATTAAACTTTTTCCTGCAAAATGAGAAACTGAAGCAGAGACTAGTCGGTGTGCGGTTCCTTTGGGACGTGGATAATTCCTGGTAAACAGTGCCCTCTTCTGTCTCTATGGAGACAAGACACACGCTAAACCTGCTAGCATTGGCGCTAGCATTACCCAGCTGTTTCATCCATTTTGTTTAGCCTAGCTAAGCTGCGTGTATTTACAGTGCGGCAGAGATGGATGACGGCGACGAGCCAGGTTTAGTCCTCTCTCACAATACTTCGTCGGGCTCCAAGTCGGGTGGGGACAAGATGTTTTCCCTGAAGAAGTGGAATGCTGTAGCTATGTGGAGCTGGGACGTTGAGTGTGACACTTGTGCCATTTGCCGAGTACAAGTAATGGGTGAGTCCGAGGAGCTAACGGAGCTAACTTAGCTACTTGTACCTTTAAAACCCGAACGGCCCGGCGTGTGGAGGTACTCTAACATTGTTCTTCATTTTCAGATGCGTGTCTACGATGCCAGGCGGAAAATAAACAGGAGGACTGTGTTGGTAAGACCCTGCCAGCACTGACATATTTATTAGCAGCACAGACACTCGGCAGGTTAATCCACAAAAAAAAGAAAGAAAAAAAAAAAGGTAGAAGCTAACAGTAGCTAGTTGGAGCTGTTAGAGAAACTCGCTGAGCCAGGCAAAATAATAAGATAATAACCTTTTACTTTGTTCTTTCTTTTAAGATATAAAGCAGAGAGTTTATATGACCATTTATTAGCATTTTGATATAAATATAAGGTATCAAAGGGCACCTAATCTAATCCTTGGGGGTGCTATTTTGCATGGTAAATTCCTTTAATGAATAGGACTGTCGTGTTTTGTTTTTAGCTTATTGTAAATGGTTTCTCAATATGTGCCACTCATGCTCTGCCTTTGTGTTTCAGTTGTTTGGGGAGAATGCAACCACTCCTTCCATAACTGCTGCATGTCCCTGTGGGTGAAGCAGAACAACCGCTGCCCCCTCTGCCAGCAGGACTGGGTGGTTCAGAGAATCGGCAAATAAGCTGCACATCCAGGTGGATTACACCTGCGTGCACCCCAAAGCGGTGACAGACTTGGCAGTGATCACTGCAGAGCCTTGTGCGGAGCCGCTGACACCGCAGTTGTCCTCCTGCTTATTGATTGCATGTTTTCAGTAGTCCCGGTACCAGAGGAAGGACAAAATGAAAGCTGCACAGACTGGTTACTCATGGAGTCCTGAAGAAGATGGATGAAATATGTTGAATTGTTTGGTCACTTGTTAGCTTTACATTGGTGTCTGTGGTGGTGTTTGGCACACCCTGAATATGTGACCCTTTTTCTCTTCTTTTTTTTTTTAAATAAAAACTGAAGATCTGTAATATGTGGGGGTTTTCAGTAAGAAGTTTGAATAAACTCTGTATGATATGATATGACTCACTGAACACTTTATTAGGTTTAGATGCTTGTTATCATCATCATATCTAGGCATGTAGGTGTAATCTGTGATCTACAGAAATTCAAACAGCATCAGAATGAGGAGGAAAGGTGAAGTGATTTTGAATGTCTCATGATTATTGGTGGCAAACAAGGTAATCTGAGTATTTCACAAAATGCTAATATTCTGGGAAGATTTCTTGATGTCAGAGGAGTTTGGTATGTAGTATGCAGAAGTATGCAGTATGCAGAAGAGCATCTCTGAATGCAGGTGCTGAACCTTGAAGCAGATGGGCTACAGCGGCAGAAGACCACCACCTTCTGTCAGCTAAGAACAGGAAGCTGAGGCTCCGGTTCAAACTGGGTGATGACAAAATGTTGGGAAATACAAGTCCCCTGTTCAGATGAGTCTCAAATTCTGCTACAACATTCAGATGGCAGGGTCAGAATTTGGTATAAATTATAAACTGTATTCATCCATTTTTTCATGCTATTCTGTCCATAAAGTAAAAGAGGAAACAGAAAATCCAGTCATTTATCTGAGGTTTTAAAAAAAATTATATTCAGAATTAGTACACACGTTGGTTGTTTTGAAACAAGCAAAGATATTAAAGTGAGCCAAGGTGGCGTTTAAGTCTTCAGACGCTTTGTTAGCTCTTGGGAAAAATCAATTCCTGAGCTGCTACTGAGCCAATTATGACTCGTTTAGTGAAGACTATAATAAAGTTATAATAAACCAAGTGTGCATACCAAATTGCATGCACATATAGCCTTGTCAGTGGCATTATACTCTCATGAAGAGTTCATCAACCCTACAATAACTTGTTAGGGTCTTTATCAGCCACCTCATCGTGTCATACTGGCAGCCCAATTACTGCACACAGTCACTTTGTAACTTCTAAGAATAGACCAGGCTAAAGCCTCTTAAGTTCAAACCACATAAGTTGCTTTCCCCGTGTGCCACATACGAATAAACCCTTAGCCACCAACAAATCCCTAAGGACGGTGGTGCTTTTAAGGACTCAAACATGCATGGCCCAAGAAGTGAGGGATGCTCAGGATGCAGGTGCTCAGTTAAGCGTAGAACTTGCAGATGGGTTAACGTCAGCGTTTTAAGTTCATCCGCTGCCCGCTGGTGTGCCACAGGATCCATCCAGCATGGGTGACCTGCTAGGATTGGACAACTTGGTTCCCAACACCACCTACCTGAATGCCCAGCAGATCAATCGCAACGAGCTGAGAAAACGGAGACTCTCTCTGACGCTTCCCAAGCTGAAGAAGACCTCTGCTCTCCAGGCAGCAGAGGGAGAGATGTACGAGTCACTCTGCGAGCAACAGCCTATCGGGAGCAAGCTGTTCCAGCAGTTTCTCCTGGCCTCTAACGACCAGTACGCGGCTGCTGCTGAGTTTCTGGATGAGCTGAGCAAGTGGAGCTTTGCCGAAGATGAAAAAAGAGAAAAAGCCAAACAGACAATCCTCGCCAAGTTCTGCCAGTCTCAGTCTACGGGATTCCTGTCCTACTTCACCGAAGAGGATGCTGAAACATGCAAGGGCTTATCAGACAGTAACTTTGATGAGGTGATTTTGGACCAGCTGAGAGAAGCCACTAGAGAGTTCCTGAAGGGAAGACCTTTCTCGGAGTACCTGAAAAGCCAGTTCTTCTACAGGTTTCTGCAGTGGAAGGAGTACGAGAGGCAGAAGATCACTGACAAATACTTTTATGAGTTCAGGACTCTTGGAAAAGGTGGCTTTGGTGAGGTGAGTGCCAAAAACATTAACGTCAGAATAAAAGTGTTTGGACAGTCAACGGATTTTCCTGCTACAGCCCAATAGCACGACTGTGTGACATTGGTGAGGCAGGCTACTAACTTAAATAATTCCCCTAAATCACCTCTACAGAATAATGTTATGTTGTACAATTTATTATTGTGTATTATATTGTATCCTTTGTCTTGTCTTCCTCACTTTAATCCTAAATGGTGGCCGCCGCTCCCTGAGGCTTGTTCTGGAGGTTTCTTCCTGTTAAGAGGGAGTTTTTCCTTCCCACTGTCTCCAAGTGCTTACTCATAGGGAATCATCTGATTGTTGGTTTTCTCTATGATATTGTCTTTATCTTACAACATAAAGCACCTTTAGGCTGTTGTGATAGCAACATGGCTAGTTTGTCCTTTAGAGCAGAAAGTAGCTCAAACATGTTTCATATTGATTTGTCATGAATTTGTCCGTCAGGTGTGCGCGGTGCAGGTGAAGCACACGGGCCAGATGTACGCCTGCAAGAAGCTGGATAAGAGGCGTTTGAAGAAGAAAGGCGGTGAGAGAATGGCTCTCGTGGAGAAGCAGATTCTGGAAAAGGTCAACAGCCTTTTTATCGTAAACCTGGCTTACGCTTACAACAGCAGACACCACCTGTGCCTGGTAATGGACCTGATGACTGGAGGAGACCTCAGGTTCCACATATACGACTTAGGGAAGAGAGGCATACGGATGGAGCGTGTGGTTTACTACACAGCCCAGATAACCAGTGGCCTCCTGCACTTGCACAACATGGGCATCGTCTACCGTGATATGAAGCCTGAAAATGTGCTGCTGGATGGTAAAGGACAATGTCGCCTGTCAGACCTCGGATTGGCTGTGGAGCTGTCCAAGGGCAAAATAATCTGCCAGAAGGTGAGTGTCTCTAGATTAGCCTTGACTTTCAGTGTCAGATATGTGCAGGATCAGAGGATCTCTGTGGTTTGTGCAAGAGTAAGAAATTCTACTCTCCATACCAGAGAATCTCTTGTTTTATTGTCCTGCATGGCCACCCAATGCTTTGTATTATTTTTCTGCTTCACTAAGGAAATCCTCACTGACATTAACGCTGAATTCTCTCACAGTGTGTTCACCTGCCATTCCAAGGAGCTTACCAGGAATAGATATAGTGACTCCCAGTCCTGCTAAGGCCAACAACGAATAAGTGCACAGCCCTGTGTAACCCAAATGAATCTCATTAAAAGGTGCCTGACCTCATCCCCGGGTGGACGCTGCGTAGCCTGAGAAATGTAAGGTAGATTGACCAGAGCCTGTTAGCATTCACTGGCTAATCTTTGCTTTGCCAGATATGGCTTACAGGTGTCTGTCCAGGAACACAGTCAGAGGATTCACAGCAGGCCTCCACTCACTGGATGAGTCTCACAAGTGCCTTTTAAAGCAGGCATGGTCACATACAGCCCATTTTGATCTGAGGTGTACAACTTGTGTTGTACAAAATGTAAAATGAAAAAAAAAGGGAAAGTAATAAGCAAGAAATATATGTTGGCAGGTACAGGAGGACTCAAATGCCAGTGTGTAAAAAAAGGTTTTAGGTCTAGTTTTAAAGGACTGAGTGGAGGGAGAAGATTTGACTGTGAGGGGAACGCTGTTCCACAGTTTGGGAGCAACCAAAGAGAACACCCGGTCTCGTCTGAGTGGGGTCGTCTGATCAGAAGCATTCGATTTGCTGACCAGAGAGTTTAACTACTCGTTTATTTATTTAGTTTCAATAAAAGTAAAGAAGTTTACCTTCAACCACATGTCTTGGTTTTTCTACCTGAAAAAGAAACGCTGCTGTAGGAAATGAAATCTCTCTTTGGGCTTAGATTTGTAAGAAATGTGTAAGATTACAGAAAACTTTGTGGTTGTTTAATTTTTCAGACAGTCTTGTAATTTTAAAATTCAAAGCTTTAGTTAATTTACAAAAAAAAAAATCTCATTTTCTTTCTTTGTTTACTGTGTTTGAAAAAAAGTTTAAAAAAAACTAAAATCTATAGAGCAGATACTGAAAATCAGCTGTCATTTAATTATTTATCGATTATTTAATTACATTTCTGCAGTAAAGATCGCAAATTTATACCCTTCAAATTTTCCAAAGCCATCCAGTGGGCCAGATTGTAGTGTTTGCCAGGCCGATTCCGGTCCTTGGGCCTTACATTTGACACCCCCGCTTTAAAGGATCATCATTTTCTCTTTATCTTGTTTTGGTGCATTCTAGCATCTTCATTTTTATCTTGAGGTTTTATTGTTTTTTGTAATATTATATTAAACAGAAGCTGTATATCTTATCCAGCCTCTTCTTGTTGCAGATAACTGAAATAATTATTCAAACTATAAATGATTTGTTGGAGTAGATTATCATGTTGGGTCTCAAAAACGTTCATTCTCTGCTCGATAATGGTTTCAGAAAAAGGTCTTTTTTACAGTTGTGCCTTTTGAATCTTGGTCTTTAGTATTTCTGGCTATCAGAGACTGTTGTCTGTCAGCTCCACATAATCAGCTGTTGAGCAAAATAATAAATACTGAAGTGCCCTAAACCTGCATTCTGTTCGATGGCCAGCAGGGGGCAACTCCTCTGTATGCAAAGGTAGTCAGACCCACAGAAGCCTTTGACAAAATTGTAACACCTGACAAGACCGTCAGTGATGCAAATATCTCATTAGCCGATCACATGGCACAAACTTAATGCATTTAGATACAGAGAGAGAGTCAATGTGACCTAGTGAAGTTCAAACTGAGCACCAGAATGAGCAAGAAAGGTGATGTAAATAAATTTGAATGTGGTGTGGTTGTTGGTGCCAAACAGGCTGGTCTGAG